CACACACACACACACACACACACACACACACACACACACACACACACTGCTGTTAAACACCTGCTTTTAAGGAAAAATCCAAGGAGTTTAAATTTTGCTAAATGAAAAACAGTACAGAAAGACATAGACTTTTATTAAAGAAATGGCAAATTGGATACTGTAACAGGCATTTTGTGTCTGCAAATGTGATTTCCTAGTTTATTTTAACAGCTATACTAAAATCCCATGGTACAGTTAATAATAGTATATGCGTTCTGTCAAAAATAGGAAAATATCCTCAAACACAATTTCTAATTTATAAGCTTATGACAAGTTCAAGCTGCTGAGAAATTGAACTGGAAAGTATGTCTTAGGATGATAGAAGACCACTATTAACACTATCATAATTGTGTACCTATTGCATCAAATCTGACATTTCAGTTTAATATATTTTGCTGAGAGCTGTACCATTTTATGGCTTCCTGGTGAAATCAAATCTAACCCAGACGTTTTCACTTTCCTAATATAATTCACCGTGAGGTTTTAAAGCTGCCAGCGCTTTTCTATCCTTTTCCCAAAGATTGATGCCTGGGCATCTGTTAATTCCACGAGAGCTCATAATGGGTCACTGAGGCAGTGTGAGCACCTCCATTAACTGCATTAATTTACACTACGTCACCTTAATGACATGGTGTCACAGCCACCTTTTCTAACGTCTACATAGCTATTCAGAAAGTAGCGTTACAACTTCCGAAGGTATTAAGGAAAATTAGTGTAAGAACATCTCTAAGTGAAATATCTCTGCTCGCAGGGCATGGCTGAAGGAAAGAAATTTAAAATCAAAATACAATTTGACTCCACTCCAGGGGCCTCTCCTCAGGAGTCACTTGGGCAGCTCCCCTTCCTATCCAGCTTGGGTTCATTAGCACAGGAAGAGCCTGACATTAATGGAGAGAGACAGAATAAAACCATCCCCTGCATTCCCAGCCTTTCCTGCAAGGGTGTCTAAGTCAGTATCTAATGCAGAGATAATTTTCTTCTTTGGAAACAAAAACATGTTTCC